TGCCAGTCAGGCTCAGCCTTCACCACCTCACTTACAAACAATGGAATGTCTTGTCATCAAAGTTTATGTTTCTCTTTTTCACCCTATGCACAATATTCTTTTGCTTATGGGAATTCTGGCTTCTCTTATACCACTCATTCATTTAGGCTGCACAAACATGTTGAAAGTGTGGAACCAGTGGAATTTTTCTCAGGATTCATTGTTTTCAAGTGTGTACCTCCCTTCTCCTCTACTCAAGGATTTGCCTTGGTATCTCAACTGTGCCAACATCATGGGAGCACCCCCTTCCCATCCCCATCTCTTCACAGATGCTTCTGAGTCTGGCTGGGAGGACCCATCTCTAAATGACTATGTGACTTTGGACATGTGGGCTCTGGAGGAGCATTTATTGCACATCAGTGTCCTTTGACTTCTTTCTGTCCATTGGGTATTTTCCCATTTCCTTTCTTGTGGATTGGTTGGTCATGATCCATTCCCAACAATTCCACATTTTTTCATAACAACCATTAGGAGGTGTACCTGTTCCAGAACTCTTTGCTTTCATGCATTGGACCTATTATTTTGATCTTATTCTCATTAAGTTAATCTCATGGTTTGTCATGTGGCAAGTGCTCTGAATTTGGTTGCTAATTGCCTCTCTTAGCCAGACAAGGTTCTAATCATGAAGTGGTGTCTATAGCTTCAGATTTTTTGTTGAGTTTGCTCGGTTGAGCTCACCTTTCATTAATGCCTCACAACTCTTCACGCCAGATGTCTCCTCATCCAGTCCCCAGTTCATCATCCTTCAACCTGGGCATTGATACTCTCACCCATGGCTGATCTCAACTTTTTTTTTTTACTTGTCTATTCTCCTATTCCTCTTCTCCCTTGTTCCTTTGCTTTGATACATAATACTCCTTGTCAGGTCCTGTTTGTGGCACCCTTTGGCCAGCACTATCCTGATTTCCTCTATTTTGTTGATTGGTGTCTGGGCCCCATTTTTTCTTGCTCCATTATCACACTCTCTTGCTTCAAACACATTTCTCTTTTACCCTGGGATATTGTATCTTCATCTTCTCCTGTGGGATTCTTCCAGTCCATTGCCCACAGGGCTGGACTACCAATAGTGTAGCCTTTTTATATCCCTTTCTTGTCATCCTGCACCTATGTTCATCTATCAAGAGCAGTTGGTTTTTTGACATTGGTCCATCAGCCTCTCCCTTCCTTGGAGCCATCCCCTCATGGCTCAGTTTTTGGTCTTTTTCCCCTTATTGTCAGACCATGGATTGTGCATTTCTACTATTGCTGGTTTGAGGTGGCTTTATCAACTACATTTCGCCTTTCTTGTTTATGTCAGGTTTATCTTCTGTTCTCTCCACTTTGCTCTGATTCTTCCTTCCTTCTACACCAACCCCCTAATCTTACCTGCATGCTTAACTGGGACTTTGATATGGTTTTCCAGGCTCTTACACATGTTCAGTTTGAGTCATTGGCTTCATGTTCATTATACCTTCTTTCTCTGGTGCCATGTTTTATTCTCCTTCTTGCCTCTAATCATTGTTGGTTGGACGTATATGCCATTAGTATTTCCTTCATTCTCTTTCACCACAGTTCCTTCTGCTTCTATTGAGACTGGGCCTTTCTTCCTGAGACTTTGGTTGATTGGGAAGGTGATCATTCCTTCATATTTTATCATATTCAATTTGTCAACTTTCTCATTCTTACATCTCATTTTCTCCAACCCTTAGACGAGGTCCTTCATGCTGGTATGTGGATGAATGTGCATATGTTTGTCTCCCATTATCTTCATAATCTGGCTGTTTCATCTTCCTTGGGATTTCGACTCCCTCCAGTCACTACTCTTCAATAAACCTACATACTATCTTTGAGAAGGGTAAGTACATTTTCTCTTTTAGTACCCTTTTCCCCTTTATTGGATCCAACCAGGTGGCTGATGTTACCTCTCAAGGTATGATTATTTTCCAAACTCTGCAATAGCCAGGGATAACAGAAAGTGCACAATGCATCCCTGGCTCTACCAGCACTGACTGTTGAGATGGGATGTTCCGTGAGATCACTAGAGATATCTTCATGGTATTCATACAACTCAGTTGCCAGACCATACCATTCCACTGACCATCATGGTAAAAATCTGCCACTAGAAAAGTGTCTTCTCATTTCTTTCGCTTTCACTTGCTGGCTCTTAAAAATAGTTTTGAAGTCACCCATTGCACTGTCTTCAGCAAAAGTCTTTTCTTGCAAGCATCCAATGGTTATTTGGGAGTTTTTCTGGGTCTTCCCACTATGAATTCTTCACTCTTTTTCTAGTGAAGCACAGGAAACCTTTGCCAATTACCAGTTCCTAGCCACTGGAATGGGAACCTTGCAGAGCTCCTCACCATAGTGCACAGCACCAGTGGGTAGTTGGGCAGTGGTGACACTGTCTGTGTAGTATGGGTCACCCCTCAAACAGCTAGTGTGCCCTCCTCCTGCTGCAAGAGCTTTTCCAGTTGAGTCGAGGTGAGTACAGACCCTATGGTATGATTGTGCCTTAACCACACTACACTTCTTGGCTCATCAACCCACTGAGCACCTGCACACTTGTGACACTTTGGGGCTATTTTGCTTTTTCCTATGTTTTCTTTCAGATGAAATGTATAACCTGGTTTAGATGATGTGCAGTCTACCATGAGTGTGCCCTTGTTGAAACTCTGGCATTAGGTGCCACACTCCATAGTCTTTCCCTTTGGGCACTTTCTGAAGGGAGGTCATCTAAGCTAAATTTTTGCACAAGCTCCTCCATCACTTCATTGTGGGAATCTAGCTATTTTGTGTGAATAGGTGAGGTATTGTTTCAGAAGTTAACATTTTCCTTACCTGATAATGTATTTCCTATAGATACTTACCTTTTCACATCTTTCCACCCATTCTCCTCACTTTGGGTGCATTTTCTTCTTGCCTCTTCTAAGAATGAAGTTATCTCGTGTACAAGTGGTTAAGGGGAGTTACTGGAAATAGAGGTTGTACCACTCTCCTATTGGTGGAGTGCTATTGTTGCAAAATGATGTCATCACGCACTACACAGTTCCCATTAAACACATAATGTTCAGGTGGGAGTTATCTCAAGGCAGAGTGTCAGAATAGCATGTGGGCAAATTGGGAAGCCCCTGAAGAAGAAAGGTCCACCTTTCGAAAACACACAGGTTACAGGGTTTTTATCATTGTATACATAAATAAGTTAGCCTTTTTATTTGAAGGGCCATGCAGAAATATAGATAGGCTTAAAATTATCCTTGATGGTATCATGGAATGTTAAACATAAATTAATCAAGCAATAATCATCTTCAGTATTACAGAATGGAGCCTAGCATTATCAAATATTATTGTTTTATATATTTGAGCCTAGAAATTACAGCCAAATAATAGCTTATAATCAGTATTATGTGAATGTTTGAATCAATATTGAGCATAATAATATTAATGTTATAACATTTCACAATCAGTTAGTACTTCCACATAGGTTTTAAAATAAAAGACCTATTAAAATATTCAGGAATTTTAAAACTTTTAATCTTCCTTATATTTACACAATTATGTGAGAGCCTTGGAAATTGTAATAAACAAATTAATTGAAATTAAGTGATAGTTTTAAAGGTAATTCTGTCAGATTTAAAGATAAACATAGTAGATTCAAGAGTGTTATTTGTTGCTATTATTCCAGTCTTGGCACAGCATGTGTGCTATTGGGGGTGGTGGGCATCCACTTATTTAGGAGGGCAGGTTTGGAAAAGGTAACTGAAATCAGTTAACTACTATTATGTGTCACTTTACATTAACTAATAATTCCTATGATAGTGCATTATTATAAAACATGTAATTTTTCAAATTAATGGTACTATTATTAAGGAATTGGAAACTTACATCTGAGCTGCTTATTACATCTCTGCAGAGAGACATACTGTTTTTGTATTGTTGTTTTTTCCCCTTTCTTTCTTCTTCTTCCAAACACTTTTCAATTGATTGCCATCCCAAAATTTCTTGGCAGACTGACTTGTAGCTAGGTAGGGTTATACCTTGGTCCAATACATTCAGACTCTTTTTCGTTTTTTTTTATATAAACATTTTTAAGGATTTTATGAGGTCAAAGGTAAAACAACCCCAAAATGTATATTTTGGGCTTCTGTGCAACCATATTTACAGTAGTCAAGATGAAAATTGGCAGAAATATAAATGTTCATGCATCCAACACATTGGCATGCAAAAAAATTGGATCTGCTCATTTTGTGTCCTTTTTTTAGGGGGGGGGTCACAAAAAACATACTTGGCTGTATTTTAATCAAGTTACATGGGGTTTGGTACAAAGCGACTTTTCTACAAGTCCAACAAATTGACAAACAAAAATGGTGGACTTTCCCATTTTAAGTAATTATAGGGAGGTCAGGATACCACAAAAAAAAATAATTGTAAGGTGTTTTGACAATTACTCTGCCATATTTTGGCCAATTTACATAGGATTTGGTACAAAGATACTTTTTTTTACTGGTTACAAACAGAGATATAGACAATTTTGGAATTTTTGTCTTTTGCTCAATTTTTCAACAAGGAAAGCACAGTTTGGGGTTTTCATGAACTATTCATGTGTATTTCAACCAACTTACATGGGATTTAATACAAAAATACCTTCTTGCAGGTTCTAAGCAGTGATAAAGACAGTTTTTGATTTTTTGTTTATCATGATTTTTCTGGTGTCAAAATTTGCCACATTGGGATTACTTGACAGAAACATGATGCATTTGCTTGCCCATGCTAGGTTTAATTATTATTATGTTTAGCATTAATTATATTTTACTTTAGTTTTCCATTTGTATTTGTCATAAAAGTGTCAAGTTTTTTTTAACTCCTGGTGGTGTATCAATTTATAAACAACAAACAAAAATGGAGCTCATATTGATACTGATTCTAAAAATTTCAATTCAGGATTAAAACTGTTTTTATTTTAAATGAATAATTCTACTTTTAAGGCAATAACCAATCCATACCTGGTTGCACTTCCCACGGTAGCTTCACCTACTTCTTTTACACACTACTTGACTCCAAGCCCTGTGGTTAGTATGATGCCTCCTGATGCAATGGCAGCACCACTTAGTGTTGTCCCTACTCCACTTGTTACAACTCAGAAAGTGCCACGAACTGATAGATTAGAGGTAAGATTAGAAAAGTAAGGTTTATAGAAATCGTAGCAAATATTTTATCATGGAAAATTATTGTAAATATTTAAAAGGAGTATTACTACTTAAACAGTAAATATGAATTTATGCATATGTTCCTTTAAAACACAGAATGCTGTTTTAATTTGTATTAATGTGGTTGTCACATCTTGTTGTATCCTGTTAATTGGATTTGTATTTTTAATTCTGCAATGCTTCTGAATATTCATGTTTAGTTGTATTGTTACAGTTGTCTTAATTTCTGTAGTGACATATTATGTGCAAATTGATGTATTTGAAGATTTAAAAAAAGAATACCAAAAGAAATCTGTACAGTGCACTGTTATTTTTTTGTTACAAGAGATTTTTTTTATTTCATGTTATATATTATATGGTAAGTATATTCAGAAAGGGTGCTACTAGTCATACAGAAATTAAATTCAAATTTAATTAAATTCAAAACTCAAAGTTATTTTATTTTTTAAGAATAACATTTGAAATAAACTGGCTTATGGACCAGAAAAAACATATGTATACATATTCGAATTCGATGACAAGGAACCTACTTTGAGACTAATAATGGTTGGAGATGGCTTGAATGGGTAATTAAGAAAAACTTTAATATAAGTTTAACATAACAGCAAATGTACAATGTTTCGACAAGGTTTTGTCATCATCAGGTATACATTATATGTATACATATAAAATGTGGCACAATTAGCCTTTCACTTTGAATTTATAATGGTTGTTGTCATGTTTAATTGCATATTTGATCACTTAAGTCTAATTATTGATTATTTACTAATATTTTTTAATAAAACTTAGTTACTAATTAATAACTAGATTTAGGTGATCATACAGGATAAAAACCAGGGCAGTGACTGGTATCTGGTCACCACAACCTTACCATAAATGCATATGTAATGCTTGTTTAGACATGAATTGAAAGAGAGAAAAAATTGATTGTTATTACGTGTTCATTTTTGGTTCAGTATGAAACAGATTCAAATTACATGAATCATACAAGGAAACAATATGTGCTACAAGATATTTTCACTGGAAGATAGATTACCAAATTAATACTTACATAAAATTTGTAAAACTCAAAGATATGAGTTGGCTACTAATATAAATGCTTGGAAAAGTTATGTTTAATAGTTATAAGGTGCTTTTGATCTGCCTGGAAATAGGATTATAGGCATTAAGGAGGAAATATTCACATATTAAATTTTGCTCTTCTGGGTTGATGTCATCACAAGCCATTATATAACATTCCTCTACACATGTTTTAGATGAAGAATATATATATACCACTGTGTACTACTTATTGTGTAATATGTTAAGAATTTCTAGAATAATTGTGATGATACTGCAAAAGGATCAAGTAAAAAAAAACGATTTTACAACACCTACTAACCTATACATATAATCTTTTCAAAATCTCTGTAGAAGGCTAATGTTTAATTAAGAATATGTATAATAAAGATCTCCAATCCTGTGAGAGCTTCGCTTTTACACTTTTAAAACCTAAAGACTCATTTCAGAGAAAATCCTTGAGTTACACAGGATTTCTCTTGAGACCTTTCTCTAAGTTTCAGGTCTCGAGCCCTGTCTGTTTTCAAATAAGCTCTGAGGACTTTTGCACAAAGGATGCATTCATTAGGTCTGCATTTCCACCTAACACCTTCCTGAGAGGCATTCTCTGCTGTTACTTCCCTTATCCTTTAGGAGTCTGCTTGTTTTGTTTAGTTGGTCAGGCTCTCTAATTTGAGTATTGACTCCAACTCAGTATGTGATTAATTCAGTGATTTTTATCAATTCATTTGCTTGGTGGGAGGTCTGTCTTACATCAGCCTCAGATGTCCATCTTTCACCACAACATCCCATGCTTTCATCTTCACACATGGATTCTGTCTAGTCTGTTGCAATATGGACAGGACTTTCTTGCAGAGTTACTCATTTTCTTGCTCATT